CCCATCCCCCGTGCGAGGCGCGTACGAGTTCTGGTCAATGGTAAAGGTACCAAAACATCAGCCACCAAGTTGTGCAAAAGGTATGTAACACAGGCTATCAAGTTCGGGTAACTGAACCCAGTAGTATGCATTCACTTAGCCGACACGTCTGATTTCTCGCGCAATATTCGAGGGGTACTACCTACCTTCTGAACTTGAAATTTTGTAGAGGGGAAGGAGTGTGATCACTGAACGGGGATATCCCATCGGGTTGCCGCCAAAACACCTGGCACTCGCGTCGCAGGCGCCGGCGCCAGAAGATTCCTATGGCACCAACAGCTGCAATTATTTAGCCGTATCTGTCCCGGTGAGGCGGAGGTGATGTAGTGACAATTGGCGCGCTTACCAATTCGTCACTACAACTAGGTTTGAACCATTTACGCGGCGCCTAGTTCAAATCCCGGGTCGACTCCCGCCCAGGCCAACCAAGCCTTCTACCCTCCGGGGACGGTAAATTGGTACCAGATTCGTCTGGGAGGATAAAACACTGACTTGTACATCGGCTGGCCACCGCAAGTCATTGTATAGGCCACAGCATTCAATAAGCCACTACAAATTTGAATGGAAGTAGAACCATGGCGCTTCCCAAAAAAGGATTTATCAACGGCGAAGACTTCTTATACTTTTATCTGTCCCGGTGACGAATTTCGGGGCACTGTTCGGCCTAGAGAGACCTACCAACTCTTGTGAAGCTGTGATTGGTGTGTGCCGCAAGGGTTACAGGAATGTAGAGGTCTTATAAGGTGGCCTGTGCAAGCTTCGCTGGATACTTGGTTTGGTGACCTCACCAAGCCGAACTGCGCGATGTTGGCGAATTTAGGCTCAATTTCGAAGGATAGGGTCGTTAAGGGTGATCGGTTTCGTTCTGGTGATGGAAAAACCTGTATATTATAGATTTGTTTAAGGCACAGCAAGAAGCGTCGTCAACGGCCGCGTCGTCACCGCAGCCGTCTCAACAAGATCGAGAACGCTTGCTGAAGGAGTCTCAACTGCGAGCGTTACGTGAACGTGAAGCTCTCCAGCAACAAGCACAACAACAAGCCACACAGCAGCAACAACAACAAGCTGCTGCTCTCTACGCTGCCCAATATCGCCTGTCCCAGCAACAGCTTCTACAGCAACAGCACAGCCAAGCAGCCAGCAACAACAACAGCAGCAGCAACAGCAAGCAAACAAACAACAACAACAACAACAACAACAACAACAACAACAACAACAACTACAACAACAGAATCCAGTTCAGGTAGTTGACCCTTCTATGTCATCGTGTCCAGGGCACGTCCTACGTTGGGGAATCTCCAGCAGGAAGGGGTGGTTTTTGGTCGCTGGACGGAGGGAGGTAGTCGTATTTTGTCTGAGAAAATTTTTTTGATAGTTGGTTTTTCCTGTTTCGTGCGCTATTTACATCGCTGGGAGAATTCCCTCATAGGGGGCAGAGTCGTAGCTGCTCGTCGTAGGGAGAGGGGGATCGTGTTTGCCTTAAGAAAAGTTGCGAAATTCTCTGGGATGTGCCTAAAGATTTCCTCCGGTTGCTGACTCTTTTGATCTCGACTCTTCGCGGTTCTTCCCGTTTCGCATGCGTCCGTTCGACGGCAAACTTTTTTTGGGATGAAAAAATTCTCGGGAGATTCCGAAAACTCGGTAAAGAGGAACTTTAAGACGGAGGAAGTGAGGGGAAAGGATCGTAGCAGACGACGAGATGGGGAGTAGGAGTAACTTCCGAAAATTCTCCCCAGCGGCAAGACGTGCCCTGATCGTGCCAACGATTTATCATGTTTATCTTATCATTACTTCTTAAGACATCTCCGGCAGTCCCTCAGACACCGATATCGACCGCACCGTCGCAAGTGAATCTTCCGATTAATCAACAAGAACGGAAAAATGTGTCCCTGGCCTCTCAACCTCGTACCATCGAAAGTGCAGTCGTAACCTCACTGGCGGCAGCCGTAGCATCTCCTTCCGGCACGTCGTCAGGACATTCGGCTGACGTTGCAAAGGTGAGCATGAGCAGTTCTCTGGGGCAGTTCGGCGCCGGGGAGAGGGGGGGGGCATTTGCACTTTTGCTACTTCCATCGACGTGTCGACCCATCTAGAGAGCCATTTCGTGAGCTTACAAGAGTTGACAGGTTTTACCATGATGGCTCGACGAGCTTGCTCCAGCTTACAGGAGTTCGCAGGTTTCACCAGGGTAAGGTTTGTGAATTGGAATTAATGATGTAGCGAAAGTGCAAAGTGCCCCTCTCCGGCGCCAAACTTCGCCGTTCTCTGTTCTTATTCTTCTATTGCGTTGTTCTGTTAAATAGCTATGGTTTGGCCTGTTTGCGAGCGTTCATAACAAACTCGTATGAAACTTTCGTCGGCAACGGCGGTGCTCGGGTGTAGGGTGGCACGAACGGCGTTCGGCGACTGCAATGCCTCGTCGTCAAGGCCCCTCTCGGCCATGCTAGCTGTCTGTGGCTGCGTTGCGCGTGTTGCTCAACGTGCTTTCAGGGCATAATAAGTGCCGCAATGCGTGCGAGCGCCCCTGTTGTATCTAATTCATAGCGCGACGTGTCTAACGTTTCTACAGCGCGCGCTATGTCTGTTGTTTTTTTCGCATGCGTTCTACTCAATTGACGTGCACACTACACGCTCATACCGGCGCGCTCCAATTTCGCCTAAGTCTCTCGGCATGTGGCGCTTTTGGGGCGGGGCAGGGACGCAGAGCATTGTCGCTCTCCGGCTACCTCTCGCTCTCTCTCGTACTATCGGTGAATTATTTGCCCGCTGGAAAGAACGCCGTGCTGTGGTGTGTGTGAGTGTGTGTGCAGCGGCTTTTTCCTCGACGAGTTCGATATACTTTCTCCCTTCGTCAAACTTGATAACGTTCACTCGACAAGGATGATCCGTCCGAAGTGATCGTGCAAACACCTGCTGGTCAAACTACCTCATTTGATCTACCTCCTCCCATCTACCTCATCATCCCGATCTCTCGAGAGATCGGCAGCACCTTGTCAGGAATTCGTGCTAGGAGCTTATTTCGTCAGGATCGTCTTTATTCTTCTTTCTTCTATAATCACTACTTGTCGTTGCCCGGTGTTACACTTCGACGTAACTGCTATTATTGATCACATCAAATTTGTATATATTCACGCATATTTGGAGCAAACTAGCTGTTCTAGTCTTCTACAAGTTGTGTTACTGTGTTATCGACATCATTTCTTCTCTCGGCTACGCTCGTTGTTGGCAAAGACATTGAATGAGCTCGAATAGTTCACCGCTTCGAGCGACAGAAATTGGTGTAAAGCGGAGTCGAAAAGCGACTGAACCTCAACATTTGTCGTCGTTCGGTCTCTCTTCTCCTGAGCTTGAAACTATGAATCCATCAGGAAATCATTTATCTGGTGAAAGTCCAGCCGTTGGTGACCCAACTCTGAACATACTCAACTTAGCTGGTGCAATTGCAATGAATAGTTTGTTAGCAATCAATCAGCAAGCTGGGGGTGCTGCCGGTTTCCCTGCAGCTGCTCAGCTGGCAGCTCAAAATCCATTGCTCGCAAATGCAGCGAAGATGATGTTGAGTATGAACCTTGCGAATGCTGCAGCTGCTGGTGCAGATCGACCATCTGCTTCTACCTCAACCTCTGAGCTTCTGTCATCGTTGGTCGCTTCTCAACCAGAAGCAACTGCGTTGTCTGTGGCTAATCTTCAGCAAGCGATGCTTCTTCAGCAATATGCGGCTTTGGCTCGAGGGCAATTGCCAGGTGTGAATCCGCAGTTGGCTGCTTTGCACATGTCTCTGAAGCGATCAGCAGAGAACGGAAGTAGTCAACATAGCGACCGTAAGCGATCCTACCCAACCACCGAAGTTCCCAATCAAGTGGATGAGCTCAGAAAACGAGTTCATTCGGACACTAGTGCCCTCGCAAAGCAGCGAAAGACTGAACACACACCAATTCCTCATGTGTCAGTGTCCAAAGACGATATGGAACGTTGTCTGAATAGAATTCTCAACGAGGAAATCTACAACATCTACGATCACGACCTGAAGTCTGAACGAAAGGCTGTTACCCCGGCCCCGTCACCAGCTGATAGTAGCAGTAAAGAAGAGACGGTATGCAGCAGTAGTAGCGGTTCCAGCTCACCTTTCGATAGAAAATTGTGCATAGATGAAATTCTTGAGATTATTGCTAGTCGTCCGTCAGAAAAAGACGGTGGAATCGCCTCGACGGGATCAGCGTTCAGAAAAGTCAGCAGTCGTTCCAACACCGCTGACTCGTTACGTGAAATGATCATGCCTACTGACACCGCTTCGCTTGTCTGGGAAACTTCACTGTCCCCAGATGGAAGTTCTCCGCGAAATTCCGAACCAGATGTTGCCCCTCTAACTCAAGAACTTATTACTTCACTGCGTCATCTGGCCATTTCCCATCGTGATGAAGATCCGGAGAACTTGGACAGTGATGTGGCGCTCACTTATGACGAACAACTCAAGGTGCAGTTTTGTTAAAATATATAAAAATCAACTTTGTCGATTGGGCGGGGGGGGGGAGGGTGAAGTACCGTAGTTCACATTCACCGTAATGGAGTGCAACTCAGAGTGCTCGCTCTCCCTCGATGTTTTCCACGCGTAGTTGACGTGTTTTCGTATATTTCGGCCATGAGAGTGCGCAATAGATGATGTATCTTTTAAGGGGAAGTCTTCATTAAAGGGTAGCTCGGCAAAGTTCGGCTTGGTTAGGGCAACGGATGGTGCTAGGCTAGCTTTGCAGAGAGCACCGTGTTAAGACTTGTGAAGACGTGTAAATTCCTGTGACTCGCTCGCACCATTTGGCGCTTTCGCAGGAGTTTACAGGTCTTATCAGGTGTGTACCTTTCATAGAACATGAGCTAACAAAATGAACAAGTAATAGTGCGAAAGGCCCCCTCCAAACCGAACACTGCCGAGTGGCCCTAGTACCGATGTCAGCGTCAAGATATGGTCTTTATTTGTTTTTTTACAGCGTTTCCCGGTGGTATGGCAAGGCACGCTGGCAATGAAGCAGTCCGAGACGACGGTGCAGATGCATCTGGTGTATGGATCGATAGAGATGCTAACTCGATGCCTTGGTGATGCGAATGCTGATGCGAAGAACGCCGTACCGATTCGTGTCAATCAACGAATGCGACTCGAACATGCGCAAGTTCAAGGTTGGTGAACCAAAAAGAGTGCCGTCGATCACTTTTCTTTGTCGTGTGCAGGTTTTTTCGATGCCCTCATAGTACATTCATGTTCATGTGATGCGATATTTGGTAGCAGATTAAGCGTGCGCTGCGTGTGCCTGGGTGACTGCTGTCGAGTGTGAGTGTCCGTCCGGCCGGCTGTGATCGATGTGGCGGTTGCGTGGCTGCATCGACCCTTGCTGACGCTGGGTAAAGCTCGCCTTGAACCCGCTAAAGCTGATTACGCTTGAATGACGAAATTGCTAACTAAACAAAAAAGGTTTCTCGAGAAGGGTTTCGGGCGCTAATAGCCTTGAAGGGGGGGGGGTGTTTAGAAGATTCCCATTGACGTCATTTGATCAGAATTACAGTACTTGAAATCGGGCGCTATTAATCCCTTGGGGAGGTGGAGGCACACCTGTAAACGGTTATTAGCATAGGAAGGGCGCTTTGGGAGGGGTGGGGGGCACTCGTAAATGCTTGTCAGCATACGAAATCCTGTGATTTGTGTACACGTGAATACCGGACAACCTTGTCAACACCCTGTAAGCCTTGTTATCAACTGTCAAGCCCCTGCAAACTCCTGCTAAACTTGTCAAAACGACCGGTCAATATTCGGGAAATCTGCCTTTTTTTATATCCTCTTCCGCTAACGCAGTAAAAAGTGGAGAAGTGGCGTTTCCAATAACGCTGATACCATTTTGCCAAGCTTGACATGCATTTACAGGAGACCTTACGGGTTTTGTAGGGTGAGACAGGATTTTGAAAAGGCAGACACGATGTGAAAAGGTTACAGGTTTTTGCCTCCCCCCCCCCCTTTCATGGCTACTAGAGTTGGAATTGGAACTGCTCTTCTTCTGAACATAAACCCTTATCTCCACTACCTTAGTTCTACTTTGGGCAAGATATGCTTTGTATCGTTTTCCCCCTCCTCAAAGGTTATTAGCGCCGTTGTTGGTGTTGAGAGAGCGCATGTTTTTTGTACTTCTAAGCTGTATACATGTGAATACCGGACAACCTTGTCAAATCCTTGTTACCACTTGTTATCACCTGTCGATCACCCTGCAAACCCCTGCTATCTGTCAACAATCGGCCGGCAAATTACTGCAATTAAAAAAAAAGGACTTTAAAAAAAAAACTGGAGCATGGCAGTTCCATGACGCTGTACCACTTGGCCAAGCTTGACAAGAGTTGACAAGGTACTTCACAGGACTTGCAGGGTAAAACGCGCGTGTGAAAAGGCGCACAATGGAAAGCCTGTAGGTACTAGACAGGACTTGTAAGTTAAAACACGTTTCCGCCCGTACTTGCCCCCCCCTTCCCCTTGAAGGTTATTAGCAGCAACAAAATTGGTTTTCCATCCCGGAGCACTTTTTCCCCAAAGCAAAAGTCCATATCTTCATTACGGTAGTTCTATTTATGCACAGGAAGTCCACCCTTCTCCTCAAAGGTTATTAGCGCCGAGTTTCGTACTGGGAGAGCGTCTGTTTTTTGTACTATGTGTTTGAAAAGACTTTGGGCAGTTTGTTGTGGGTGGCTGTCTCGGGAAAGTACGGTAACAATCGTCAGAGTATCCCGTTGAGTACTGTAGTTTCTCAGGAATCTTCTCAGAACTCTGGGATGAAACTGCTCTATGAAAAGCGGAAAAGCAGTAAATTCCTGATCATTGATTGCTGCGTCCAGCTAATCTTAATGGTTTTCGTTTAAGTGTGTTTTTGTTTGATTAGAAGGGAGCATTTGTGTGATTGGATGAAATTCCTATAGTGCAAACGCCTACGGTATTGCTTCATTTTGTTTTCATAGCTTTTAGGACATGTTTTGATGCACTGTCGGGGTGCTCTATGCGCTGTCGTCATACCCGTTTTGTTGTTTTTCCAACGAATGAGTGACTAAAATCGAATTTTTTTTCTTGCTGGACATTTCTACGGCTGAATTACTTTGCTCTAGTGTGACAGTGTGCAGAAAATGTTGCTGCTGCAAGTATTTGTGTTGACGAAGTGGCTGAGGCGCTAGTAAGCGTTGTCACAGCGACGAGATAATAATCACTTGTTTCGTGAGCGTAGGCATAGTGACTGAACGAGATTGTGTGAGAAGTGTGTGTTGTACGAGAAAAATAAGCAAAAAAAGTCAATCCGGCGGTGGATGGATGGATGTGGGGGCCAAACCTCAAATGGAACTAAAGTTTCAGTTACAGGTATGGTCGCAAAGATGTCCGATGCGGGTCGTTTTGCATGTATGATCTGTTTGCCATGTGGCCTTTCACGAGATGAAATCATTACCAACTCGGATATATTCCGAACGGCATTCATTGACTATTTCACCAGTAAGCAAGCTGCAGGAATTGCCGTGATGCCTCAGACGGTAAGAAAATTCTGGACTTAAAGACACATTCCGCGATTACCTGAGATGTATAGTCTTGTGTACGCTGGGGCGTTTCAAGGAGGCTTGCTTTGGCGCGGCGCCAGCCTCCTCTCCGCCAATTGTGCCAGCTCCCTTGATTGGTGGAGAAAAGGCCCGCACCGCTCAGCCCATCCCCCTGAAATGTCTCAGCGTCCATAACGAACAAGACTGTTGACTTTCCGTGTGCAAGATGGTCAGGTGCACAACTGCAGGAAAGTACACTCTCGTTACTCGAAAATGCATAACAATGAGGCTGGAGACTGAAAGCTGCATGCTGGTTGGTGCGGGGAGGGGAAGGGTAACTGCACTTTTGTTCGTTCCTTTTGCTAGTTCATGTTAAGTAACAAGTCCAACCTTAGACCTGTAAGCTCTTGTGAATAGGGTCTTTCATAAGTTGGAATCTTCGGGGTTTCTTCGAGGTCGCTGACGGAGGGAGTCGTATATCCCTTCGAGAAAATATGTTTTCGGTGGTTCTACCTTTTCACATGCTTTCCCTTTTAAATGCGCTATATCCCAGTCCCCTTCCCCTCCCCTCGTTCGACGGCAGTTTTTCGTGGAAAAAGTGAGCTTCCGAAAAAGTGGGGAATCAGGAAAATTAAGGAAGGTGGTAAGCAGGACAGAGGGGGGGGGGTGATAGGGGAACTTTCGAGGGGTCGTATTTTGCAAAAAAGAAAATCATCAATTGCCACAGTGTGCCCTGCGTGTAAAGCTGCGGAAGTACAGGTGAGCGGGTAGTCACAGGTCTCCACAAGTTGATTTGATAAGCTTTGCTTAATGTCCCCCCCCCCCCATCAAGCCGAACTGCGCTCTTATGTCTCCGCCTGCAGTTCGATACGCCATACGACCGAGTTCCACGCGTTTCACGACTGCACACCCTCTCGTAGAAATAGCGTTTGGTAAGACTGGTCGAGACGGTGAGACCTACTCCACGACGTTTCCTATGTGGAGTCTGGTTAAAGACCTCACGATCAGACAATAGTGGGCACTGTCTCGATAAGAGGGCCTAGGCGTGCAGCGTGTGAAGAGGCTGTATGGCGTCTCGAATGGTGGGCGGAGATATCAAAGGCATAGAACTATCACAAGCGTCGAGCTTCAATGCCGCTATTAATTGGCAAGAGTAGTACACTTTTGCAGATGTGGACCTTCTCACCCTCATCGCGGGAAGAACAAACTTTTTAGATAATGGTGTAGTGTGTCTTTAATCTCTATGAAGAATACTGCGGTTAACTTGCTGTGTTCAGGCTACGACCGCGGGATGCTTGGTGCATGTGTTTCCGCCGGGAGAATTTCCATCCAGTTACCTACAATACTATTCTCCTCAGCTTTATGAGTCGATAACAGCTCGCCAGGCTTCATTTTTGTTTGTCGTTCTAACACCTGATGAATCTTCACGACCACCACTCACATCATAGGTTTACCTATACTACATTGTACATGTTTCATGTTGCGATAAGCTGTTAATTTTTTTAAAATATACATATAGTAGAGTAGAAGTTCGCAACGTGTTCATGTGGCACCCCTCTTTCACCACACACACACCCGTATGGTGATTGTGTGTTTTAATTGAAAATAGCAAGTAGATTTTGTTTCATGTAGGGAGTTTTTTTAATAAGGTGAAACTCCTTGTGAAAGAAGAGATGAGTGTGTAGATAGTGTTTTCGCTGTAGCCACTTGTGTACGTCTCGTTTTTCTACGGTTCCCTCCGGTTTGTAGCGTTTTCACGCGCCATCTTGTGTCTATATAATTATCTTCTTTTTTCTGTTTTTATTATTATATATTTCTTCAGTTCATTTTTTTGTGAGCGTGATGATTTCCTTGTTTCCCTTTATTTGACAACACAGGTATATATTATTATGGATGTATGTCTGTTTATTTTGTTCGTCATCACCATTTCATTTTTTCGTCATCCTTCATCATCATTTTTTTACTCGCTCGCTCGTTTGCTCGCGTGCGTGCGTATGCGTGCGTGCCTGCGTGCTTGCGTGCGTGCGTGCGTGTGCGCGCCAGCGATGATCTTGTGTATTAATATATATTAAGTCACTACACACATCCTTCATCCATCCCCAATCCCACAATTTATCCCATCGCGGCTTTCTAACTCGTGTGTATTTATGTGAATTTTTCCCCATTTTTGTATTTTCACATCATATTGCTATGTTTTATTCCCCGTCTCTCCCACTCTCTTGCTCTCTCACTCTCTCGTGTTCAAATTTGTACCATCAAGCGCTATATTTCCTTTCTTGAATTTGATGTTTTATTGTGTCTATTTCTCATAGGCTGTGTGCAGCCTACATGCTCAGAGATATAAATTTATATAATTTTTTTGCTTCTTCACAGTGGTATAGGTTAGAGGCGCCGCCATCACCGAACAGTCTCTGGATCCAATACTGTCACTCCACCCTCTGGAGTTGTTTAATTGGTACCAGGGTGTCTGGGCGGTTCTTGCTTATGGATAGTTGAATCAGGGCAATTGGTACGCTGGGAACCCCAGGGGGAGGGTGAAGGCGGTCGTATTAGCCTTTGAGAAAATATTTTCGATTGATGATTTTCTCGGTTTTCTCCGTTTCACGTGCCCTACATGCGCCCCTCCACACCCGCTCGATGCAGTTTTTCGGGGAAAAACGAGAACTGCGGGAAGATACTCTGAAGTGAAGTAATACGGAGATGGGAGGAGGGGTGGTAGGATAGGAGGGCGCGGAGGGGGCGGGGGGGGGTGTCGTACCAAAGGAGGAAATTTCGTGGGGGTTGCTAGTACACGTTTTCAGACCCTTTGGAGTTTTGGTGTCTAAAGCTTTAGGGAAGGAGGTGATCCTTAGAAATCGTTAGGTGCAACGAAGACTTCTGCCTCTTCAGAGCCACTGATAACAGACGTGTCTGAGAGAGTAGATGGGCAAGGTTGTCTGTCAGCTTACCCCACACGTCTTGGATGAGCTAAGTCGCTTTGAAAATGCCTATGATTTTGAATGAAAGTGAAATGTGTGGCGCATGCCAAAGGGCAGTAATTATCGACGTGGGTTCTATCCTTTTGATATCCTTAGTGGGAGTAGAAAGTTTGACGCTGCCCAGATTTGCGGAAGCTAAGCACGTTGTCCTCTCTTTATCTCTCCTAGCGATAAGGGTTCATACATCGTCCGATGAGGGAAATTTCAAAATAGAACGCTTTCTTTCGCATTTGTCGACTCGCGGGGGGGGGTTAGAAGGCAGGTTGGGTAACTTCAAAAGAGTTGAACACGCGAATACAGGAGTCTACAATACGGCGAACTTTTTTTAGATAACACTCACCTTCCTGTTAAGGGTATGCGCCCAACCCCCCCCCCCTTCTGTCCCCCAACTGGTTTTGGGGAATCTCCATCAATAACTGTACTTGTACGCGTCGTCCAGAGAGGCTCACCGCCGCGTGCGCGTGACCTGCCTGCTAATTGGTCTCAGATGAGTGTTGTTTTTGGCAAACTGCATTTTGCAATGGCGAGATGCATACTAAAGGGGGTCTGAATGTGACTAGTCTATAATTGTCATGTTAGGGAGCGTTCCTCGTGATGGTTACGTAGGTGCCTTAGCCAAGCTTTCATGGCTAATCCCCAAGAAGGCCGTGGCGATGCTATGTTGCCAGGGGAACGATGAAAGCTGATTGTGATACGAACAGACCTTGTACGTGTTGGATGATACGATTCTGATGCGCTCGTCCAAGTCTTGCTTCATCGCCTATTACGTAAATTAGCTATGAATCACTGAGGGGGAAACGAGTCTTCTTTGGGACAGTACAAACATATTTCAATTACGAAAGGGCCCATAAATGACGTGGTCTCTCAGACTGGGCTCAAAAAACAATTCGGGCTGATCGCGTTGTCCTTTTCGTGCTGCTTGACGGTTGTGTACGTTGCGATAACTTATCTAAAAATAGATAACGTCCAGGGCGCACGCGTTCGCATGACTTAGCATAGGCTGGATCGAGTGACGCAGCTGAAGGGACACAACTGGAAAATGTCTGATTCGTGGAAAATGCAGCGGGGTGGTCGGTAGATGTGTAGAATAGCACATGGGCACAGGTGCGATGACAGCTGTCCAAAGGGACGGAGTACGAATGAAAAGCTGCAAATCTGCAAATTGTAGTTTGCAGAAGAATTGTAGTTTAAAACGAAACGAAGCGGGTTTCGGCTCCTGTTGGCTTAGAATGGGGTCAGCAGAGCTCGGTTCGGTTGCTGTTCGAATCAGCCAGGTCTTCCATCAGGTAGCTTTACAAGACTCACCATTTAGCCCTCATGCCGATGAACGCCAGCATCTTTGGGTGAATCCTTCTGAGCTGCTCCCGAGAGGAATGCCTTGGAGGCCTATTTCCTATTACCCTCCACCCCACTTGGGCTTCGCCAGAAATCGGAATTTTCAGTCAGAGAGGGAAAAGATTGGAAAAGGTGCCTAAAACTTGGGCTGGAGTGTGTAGTGACAAGTGGTGCCGTTACTTGGTGCGCTGCCCGGAATTAGCAGATGTCAGTTCGCTTTCTGTGAGCCAATCAAGCCTCCCCAAGTGGGTGCTGAAACCCATGGGGTATTGTAACGGCTCTTCGTGCAACATTGAGATCCATGCAACGGTAATGAGGACTATTCCATCAAGAGCCTCTCATCAAGGGGCGTTTAATTGGTGCCAGTAAAAAAACACCGGGCTCTAGTAACCCTCTGGGGCATTGAAAGGGCTCTTTGGACAAAACTGGGGTATACACAGTTTTAATGAGGACAATTGCCTCAGTCTAAAGGGAGATGTGGCCAGGAGCTCGGGTGTTGGCTGACTGACTCAAAGGAGAGTGCGTCCATTTGGATAACGTTAGCTCCGCTTTTACAAAAGTGGTCCTCTGCATGTCCCCATTCTCTCCCCCTCCCACAAGGTTACTGGCACCAAACAAAAACTTGAGCGGGTCTCCGAGAATCGTTTTGTAAGCCATATGGAACTGAAAGTGCCACTAAGGGTCTGGATGGAAGTGCGATGCATGGCGTATCCCACAAAGGCCGAAAGCTCTAGCCTTCCTTGCTGTGTTCATAACTAATCCTGGAACTCAATTTGAGGGCCATTACTTTGTCATTAGGGCTTGAGGTACTAATTTAGCCTGTCATCGGTGCAGTTAGGACCTGTTCCAAGTGGCCCGAAATACGTGATAACCGGTTCCTATCTCATCCCGACGTCTGTTCGATCTCTGCGAGGGAGATTCAGACTTGCACTTGTTCTCAGATGATTAATAGCCAATATTGGGCTGTTGACGCAATTCAGTATGCACTAATCCCTAGGTGGGGCAAGTTTACCACCCGGAAGTAGCACTCGCTCGCATATGGCATATGTTAGAGCGTTGCCGGTTCCCATTTTTCATCGGTTTGTTGTCTTATTGATTCCTCTGCGTCGCTGCTCCGACCGACTATCGACATCTCTCTCCCCGGCGCTGCACTTTATGTGAACGACCGAGGGGGGGGGGGAGAATGGCTCGTGTCCTACGGTTTTTCCACGCTCTCTAACGCCACTCTGACCCACGGCGGTAGTTTTTCGTCGAAAGGACGAGGCCATTCCATTGAGAACACCGCACGGGACCGGTCTCCTTAAAGCCGATTTCATTTCGGGGACTTAGTCCGGTTGGACGTTTATGGAGCTATTAGGCGTTTGTTGATGCTTGAAATGGTGGGGTGGACCTAAAACGATGCAGCAGAAAAAGCGGCGCCTTCTGAACAAATAGATGTGAGTGAGCATTTTAGTGTGTCGGACGTTTTCCCGAGTTGTTGACAACAGCATGAGTTGATTACGGCGTTTCAACGATAAGGTCAGTGTAGGTGCATTGGTGTCAACACGACGAAAAAACAGAAGTACGTAGGCATACCACGTAAACTATGCATAGTCCCAAATGGTTTCGGGAGGAATGCCCACGTTGAGCTGGCAAAGGATGTTGTTTTGTGTCCTACTCTTCCAAATTATCGACGAACAGCGCCCTCGAGTGAAGGGGGTTCTATTAACGTTCTTGCCCCGCGAATTCTCACTATTGCACTCTGCATTATGCATGGTTGAGGGAGACAGAAGACTGACACCAGTGCCCTCAGAGTCCTTCGAAGTAAAAGAACAAGGCTATCCATGGTGGTCCCCTAGTCCTATGGCGTCCAGAATGCTGTTTGCTTCAGAAATCATGTGACCTTTTGAATGGGGGGATGGGGGAAGGAGGGATAAAAGCACTAGCTTGCTTTTAGATCGGCTAGCCCTCGCAAGTATTGGAATAGAAAGTGTCGATTAGGAACCGTAGAGGTCTCTGAGGTCTGCGTAAGATCTTGCGAGAGCCAGAAGGTGCTTTGTCCTCCCAGCTGAGTGTCTGTACGAGCCGATCCGAGACTTTAACCCCGCATCTGGAAAGCAGCCTTTGCTCATAACACCGCCTCCGCTTCGTTCCCT